TAGGGCTGTCAAAAAAGCTCGTTGTTCGCGAACACAAACGTTATTCTAGAGGATATGTGACATATGTCTAGTGATCATAAAAAGATGTATTGAGCGACGATCCTTCCACTCCATCAGATCACTAAGGTCGACTTTTATCCACGTTTGATGGGTGGGTATTGCAATCAAGCTCCATTATGCCCTTACACATGAGGCCCAATTTCTGTCCAGCCCGAGGAAACCTTTGTGCACATTTGTTACCTTTTAGGAGGCCTACGCCCCATAGAAGTTGTCTACCTGAGACTGTCACTTGGCCCGTAGGTTCTAACACAAGAGATTAAAGAAGAAGAAGTAGCTCGATGAAGAGCCATAGATGTATTAAAGGGAATTAATGATGCTATAAAGGCCAAAAGGGATATTATACTCGATTAAGTGTAGGAATTAGTGCTGGAAACCCTAGTAGAAAGAAAAAAATGAAAAGTAGCCCCAAGCTTATGAATAAGCTCAAGATAGCCAAGAAGGATGGAGTAGGGCTAGACTAGCACAAGACAAACTTGTTTCTATCCTCCTTCTAGTGTTTAAATGGTTTTTGACCGACCTTTTTCTTTTTGTAAATCGACAATTACAAGAATTTGATGACGCTACTAGAAGATTTAAATCCCTGGCAACGGTGCCAAAAACTTGACTGTGACTTTTTATATATATGTGTTTGATTTAATAAAGATGTATAGATATAATATTCAATAATGTCAAAGTCGAATTTGTCAACACAAATATACATATCGCTCAAGTAATATAGGGCTCTAATGAAGTCCTAGTTATCGATCCCACAAGGAGAAATAGAATACTACGGACTAAGGCTTAATAAAAAGTAATACTTCAACTACAACGACGACATTCAATTTACTTATCTATCACTAATAGGCAATTGAAATAAGTAGATAATTTGGATAACTAATAAATAACTAATGATAGAAAGTAGGGTTTAATTTGTGATATTCAATATATAAGAAAACATCATTCTCCTTGTCAAGAAATTATAGTGAATGGATAAAATGAATTAGTTCAATTTATATTG